CACTGATTCTTTGACCACGTAACTCAAATACGTAGATTTATGTATTATGATATTCTTTATGTTAATATTGAACGCCTGATCATCATCCCATTTACGCGGTAGCTGCTACTAATTGATTACAATTAAATTTTAATTGATAAAAATAACAAAAAAGTGTGTATGTTCCTTTGTACGGACGTAAGAAGTTATACTTCTTTGGCGTAACAAGATTAAAGTATTTCTAAAACTCTTGAGCAGAGCAAGCTGGGCAAAGGACGAAAGGCGGTCACGAGCAGAGTTGAACGATATTAACCAGTCATACGGACCAGCCAAACCCGAGATAATCAAGATTTAAATAAATTTAAACACCTCTGCACAGGGACAATAGGACCAATAACATGGGAGTTTTCGGCAGACTGTATCTGGAAACGAGGTGAACCGAATGTGACACCTGCGACCTCATATTGAATGTCTCGGCGGGAAGAATCGTTCCTGAGAAAACTAAGACATCGGCCTGAAGAGCCCCTGAGTGATGGCCATTTTAAAATAATTAAAACAACTAAATAAAATAGAAGCAGGGCACCCAGCAACTCGAAACTCGGTCTGGTTGTGAGGAAAATAAAGAGGAATCCATTCGAACCAGTACGGAGTCTGTAGTTACAAATGGGGTAGCGCTAGCTCGGGAAAGGAAAACGAAACTAACTTCCCCGAGGGAACAACTGTGACGTAAATGGTCAAGTACATCCCAACGATACACAGAGTATTAAGTAATCCCAAAGTTTCATCATTCTATATCTGTAATTTCGTTACGTCATCAAAAGATCCAACCCCATAGGAATAACATGTGAATTTTAATGTTAGTAATAACGCCCCTCCCCTTAAGGTATCCGACTACTTGCGACAACTTTTTTGAAAAAAGAAGATATGGAGTTTTTTTGTGATTTTTATGTTTATTTAGTATATTTTGAGGAAAAAAATCCTAAAATTGGTAAAAGAAAAAAAAAATTATTATTGTTAAAATGGGAAAAAACTAGTAAAAATGTACGAAAAATTACATAAACGGGGCCCGCTCTGTACAAAGATTTTATGAACAAATTCTCAATTTTTCAATTTTGATGTGTTACTTTGTTATTCCTGTTTGAAGTGACCTTCAGGATAAGAGATATTTTAATTTTTACAAAAACTAGAGCACTTTATCTTAGTGATTATACGAAATTGCTTAAAAACATTGACTATATTCACATAAAGGACTGCAAATTTTGAAATAAAATAGTTATTGATAAATCTGAAGATCAAAACACTTCTACTGTTATGCAAAACATAAGCAAAAAATTCAGCTAATTATTTTCAAAACTTTTTGAGCAATCACTGTCCCCGTTTGAGTTTTTCGAAAGAAACACATTTCGAGTAAAACGCATTTTAAGGATTGACATCTTGTGTAAAGTTATGGCATTTGCTTTTACTAAAACACTTGTAGTTTTTGTTCTAGTGGAGGGAAAATAAAATACTTGGTATTTTTATTAAGCTAATAAAATGGTTTATAAAATAAAGTCAGAAAAAAAATTGTCAATTTTTGAAAAAAATCATGGTTTTAGGGTAGTCGGATACCTTAAGCCCACCATCTACACACAAATTAAAACAGATGAAACAGCTCAACGAGAAGAACCTATGGTTCGAGTATCATTAACGAATCTCAAAAATCCTCGGAACTATGTGCGGGGTTTTAAAAAAATTATAACATTAAAATAATTTAAAATGTTAAATACAGGTGAAGAAAGGGGGATATGGTCCTGAAAAAATATATTTAGGATGCTCATTGGAAGAACAATCGAATCCAGCCGGTGCGGCCGACCAAGATGGCATAGGATTCGAGTTATTTCTGGGGAGGCCACTTCTAGGTAAAGCTCGCGCTTATACAAAAATATGACGGACCTCCAAAAATCAAGTTCGACGCTCAATTCCGTAGGGAGGTGAAAATTTCCAGTCCCCATAGGATTAACATAGGAGCATGATATTTTAGTGCTTAAGCCCTCCCCATGTCTACACAATAGGAATGAAGTAGATGACTGGATGGCTCTTGACGGGTGGAACATTTGGTTTAAATCTCAAGTCCAAGACTCAAAAATGAGCCAAGGTATTGTGAATTTAAACAAATTCAAAAAGTTTAAGACAATTAAAAACTATAGAAGAAATAGCCCTATGAGCACACACACACACATGACATTATAATAACTGGAAGAGCAGATAGAGAGAGGGATCGAAAGAGTCAGGTCCGAATAGACTGTGAGGTTCGAGCGCTGAGATATTAGCCAAAAAGCTGTAGAGGGAGAATGCACAGGGGGGATGTATCCCAACAGATGTGGTTTATAACAATAATTATTATGAACCCCCAAATATCAGACCCATAGCACCAAAAAAGTGGCATGCTAAAATATTAGACAATTGTGTGCGCGCGCATCGTAAAAGTTTACCTTCATCCTTTTTTCCCTAACGCCCAAAAAGAAGTATAATTTCAAAAATAAATATACCAGGGGTCACAAACCTTTATGGATCAATGTGCCATTTTTTTCCAAAAAAGTGTTTAATGGGGTATGGACGTGCCGTCAAATAATTTTGACTTGTAATTTTGGGGGAAATAATAAAATACCAACAACACAAAAACTCTATTTACTAAGAAAAAATACTTTTTGCATTGTTTCGTTATAAATATGTTTTAGTGTTATACGTGTAATTCAAATTAAAGTAACATTAGTGTGACTTTTGTTGTTGCAGATCGGATAACAAATAACTTATATCAGGATTGTAAGATGTTACTTTTTGTGGAATATAAGCTGAATTTGAGTCATCGTCCAAACAATTTCTGAGCAATTAATTATTTTTGCTATGATTCATCTTTCTTGATTAGAGGGTTTGTGATTTATTTCAAAATAACATTTTAAAGACGATGTTCTGAATACCACTGTTCTAGAACATAAAACACACACACACCTCTTTGTCGTTTTTGCTACTAACGCCATTTTTCTCGGTCCGCCAAATTTGAAATTCTCTGTTACACTTATCTTGCTCTTTTTGTACTTTTGTTGAACTAGCCACGTTAAATAACAATTAAAAATCGTAATTATAACACAGATAAACTTTAAAATACAGTTATGTCAATGAAATTGAATATGCTATTTTTAGTGTTATGCCAGGTTGCGAGAATCACTGTCCTTCGTATAGCCACATTTAAGATATTATTGTTATATCTTCTGACACGCACATAAAAAACGCGCGTTGTCAGCTCTTAAGTTTTAGAAGTTCACCAAACCACCTCATTCGACGAGGATCATCAAGGGAATCTCTCTTCACCTTTGTTTATCAATCCCTTCACTTCGCGTCTCTTCCAACTCGCTTCACTTCTTCGCTCGGTGCTCTTTTTGGTTCTTCTCTACCGATGTCATCTCGCGACGGCAGCATTCCACAATCGCCACACTATTCGTGGACAAACTTTACATCATAAGCAGTTGTAGTCTACGACCTAACTAAAGCAAGACAATAACAAACAAGTGTGCACCCCGCCACCCAGCAGCCGATCTCACTCGCGTTTGTTCGTAATACCTCATAGCGAATTTTGAAATTTTGAAAATGCAAACCATTTTGATCATTGGCGTGCCAAAAATATTTCGTCGCGTGCCAAAAATGGCATGCGTGCCAAAAATGGCACGCATGCCACTGGTTCGCCATCCCTGAAATATACTAATACAAAAGGCTCTTATAATTTGCTACAATGTAATAAATGTGTTTATGTTCACATCACAATGCGTTCGTAGTAAATACATCTGTAATCATATACTTGCAATTATTATTTAAATAGGTAAATTTATATTTACTCTTATGCTTTATTAACATGAAACACAATTTTAAAAAAACTAATTTACCATTTTTTAAAAATTTCCTGTAAGTATGGTTGGTTGAATGACAAAAAGTGTTCAAAAAAGGCATCAGAAAAGCTTCGTAGGCTTATGACGATCTCTCCCTACTAATAGTTACGTCAAAAATGAGTGCAAAGCAAAGGTTTATTGACCCGGGGTGCATAGCTCAGTGGTAGAGCATTCGAGTACTGATTGAGAGGTCCCCGGTTCAAATCACGGATTCCCCATTCTCTATGGAAGTAAAGAGTTATATTTTTGAGAGTTTCGAAGGTGGGAATGATCTGTCCTGTTCTGTATGTTTCTAGACAAAGCATTTCCTTATCCGTTCCTACAGAACGCAAAGCAAAGCTTCGCTGATACGCGGTGTATAGCTTAGTGGTAGAGCCTGTTACTTGTTCTTGTTTTAAAATAAATCCTTTTTGATAATAGAAATGTCTTTTAGATTAAAGTTAATTTTATATTTTATCAAACGGTTACAATTGGTTTTTCTGTAATAAATTACTTTTTTGATGAGTTCCGAATTGCATTTTATGCATATCCTTTACTATGGATGGTACATAATACTATGTGTGTGCGACTTTTATTTCTTCTCGTCCTTTTTTGTTTGCAGTGCCCAAAAAGCAAGAGGCAGTCACAGATGTGTATTAAAGTTTAAAAAAAAATATTCAGGATGCTTAAGATAAAGGGCAACGTATAGTGAATCGTTTGCGAGTGACAGCACTATCAAATTTCAACAATGAGAAATGAAAGATCAATTCAAAAGAAACCCCGTAATTTCAAGAAAATGGCAACACACACACTGTAATATTTTAAACATTATTTGATCATTGCATTATTATAGTTTATAAACACATTATTATATTTTCTATGTCTGTATACATGAAAAATGATGAAAACAATAATAATAATTCATTCTGTTTTAAATTTTCACTCAATAAATGTTTTTTGTTTCCAAATCTGATATAAAAGCACATATTTGTATGTGCCCCCGCGAGATTATAATGTTTCTCCGAAGTGGCCCATAATATCATCTGGGTTGGACACCCCTGTTCTAGATAAAGTATTTTCGTATTCCTTCCTACGAAACGCAAAGAAAACGTTTGCTGGAGAGGAGGTATAGCTCAGTGGTAGAGCATTCGACTGCAGATCGAGAGGTCCTCGGTTGAAACCAGAGTCACCCTTCTTTTGGAAGGTGAAGAGAAGTATTTTTCACGGAATTTCGAAGGCGGTAATGGCTTGTCCCGTTCTGTATATTTCTAGACAAAGCATTTTCGCATCCGTGACGGTGTGTGCGCGTATCGTTAAAATTTGGCCTCATCATTTTTCCTCACCGCCCCAAAAGAAGTATAACTAGACAAATACGAGTTTTTAATCTACCCTTTTTTTTTCGAAATAAATCATGTCCGTGTAAAGCGTCACAAACTCAGTCTTGTGAGATGTGCGTCCATAACTTAAAATGCTTTGTCTTGTTCAGTGAACATTAATTTTGATCATAGTTTAAATATCTCGCATTGAATTATATTTTGATAACTAAGAATATGAATGAGTTGGCTCCTTGACTTAGTGGTAGCGTAACCGCTTTATAAGCCCAAGGATACGGGTTCGATCCCAGCTGGAGTCGATAGATTTTCTGGAAGCAAAATCGTAAGCACACATGTCACATGATTATGTGGCCTGTAAAATAAACTTTGGGTATCAATTTGACTCTGGTACTACTCTCGGCAAAAATAAATCATAGCAATATCTATCATTCCACGAGATATGGAATTAAAATTGATTCAAGCATCAGAACTTCGTAGCGAGATCCGCCACTGTATGGTTCTATTACGAAATGGCTACCACGTTTGGGGACTTGCCACATTTGCAAAGGCTTACTTGCCAATATGCAGCCAATTAGGAAAAAAGGAGTAGGAATGAAGTATTTTCACAATTTTGTATCATAATCCTGATGCAAAAGTTATATGTATTTCACCTACATACACTCAGGAACATTGAAAAAAGCGACCCAAGAAGAAAGCATCGGAATGAAATGAAATTTAATACACATAATGACACAGATGAGAGATTTACTTGATCTCAAAAACAAAACAATTAAACGAATACAAGGTGGGCAACGACACAAATACTGGACAACTTCAATAGCGCGTTGGACCACCTCCAGCTGCAAGGTACGGCATTGAGTTGTCCTTATGTTGTCCTGAGGCAGATGGGCCCACAAATCTTGAACAGCCAACTCTAAATCATGTACAGAGGAACACGATGACATCTGCCGTTTTAGCTGATCCCACACGTGCTCTACAGGGGACAAATCTGGGGAGCGGGCCGGTAATGGAAGAGTCTGAAAATGACGTAAGAAGTCTTGAGCAATTCTTGCTGTATGCGGACGAGCATTATCTTGCTAGAAAATGGCCCCTGGGAGACCATTTAGGAAAGGTCCTACATGGGGCCGAAGATTATCATCAACGTAACGTTGACCCGTTAAGGTTCCACGTATCACAACTAAAATGGTCCGGCGCCGGCTATCATAGGCTATGGTCCCCCAGACCATTACACCAGCTGTGCGGGCAGTGAGACGTAGAACAGTGTGGGGGAATTGTACCGCTCTCCAGGGCGCCTCCACACCCGCACACGGTTATCTTCTGTCCCCAAAACAAACCGGGATTCATCACTAGACACAACCTTTTGCCAACCTGTGACATTCCACATTGATCTGGCTTGGCACCACTGTAGACGCAGTTGCCGATGCTCCGGTGTTAAAGGGAGTGCCCGGAAAAGGCACTCGGATTTAAGATTTGCTTCTGCAAGGTGTCTGGAAATTGTTTGTGGAACAATTGCTACGCCTACGTTTGTTCGTATCGTTGAACGAGTTACTATGGGTTCCACAAGTGCTTGCCACACGATCGTTCGATCCTCTCTCCTCGTGGTCTTCCTGGTCGCTCCAGACCCGGTTTTCCGCGCGTGGGTACCTTCTAGCGTCCACTGTTCCCAACAATTTCTAACGGCACACTCCAAACGATCCACCTGGCCAGCAACACAGCGCGTCGACCAGCCTGCATTTTTCGTCCCGATGATCAGGCATCTCTCAAACTCGCTTAACTGTGAGAAATGTCTTCTAGCACGTTTACCTTGCATGTTTCGCTTACCAAAGTCTTCCTACAATCGGCGGGTAATCGTCACGTTTATGAATCTTCGAATTTTCGCTGGATTATATAGCACCCTCTTCCTGATTAAAACGCCACCTCGGCGTGTATGAGAATGTGTATTGGCACGAAACTTGGATCATTTGCATATCACATTTCACTGTACTTATTTGAAAAGTTTCGCGATTGTACTTAGCTTCCTTCTTGGGTCGCTATTTTCAATGTTCCTGAGTGTAAATAATGGCAATGAAAAATAGCTTGTTACAGGATTTTTTGTCAATAAAAGATTCATAAATGATATAGATATTACGAATTAATGTAATCCATATACAAAGAACATATGCATTTTCCACAAGGCATCAGAAAAAGAACCGAACATGGTATAGAACACTTTGTCTATAGCAGAAAAGGAAAAGAATGTTACAAATAAGTTATTTGTTTTTAAATTTGTAAAAGAATGATCAGACATTGGTCAGTCTGTATAGTCATTTTTTTCAATTGTTATTATTTTTAATAACATAAATATTTTGAAATATTACTTTTGGTTCTTCCTATACTTTTCTCTTTGTGGATCCATCTCAGGTATAAATTAAGCACTAAAATCAATAAAAAATAACCCTGTAATATAATGTATATTATTGAATTAAAAAAAGAAAATATTTTTATTAACATATTTAAATATTACACAACGAGCATTGATGTTTCTAAGTTTGTCCAAGTTATTAACTTTAACCTTTAAAACACAAACCTCTCCTCGATATAATTTAAAATACTTTCATGTTTATGTTCCTCTGTTGCATAGTAATATTTTTAAAAAAAAGGACGTTAAATTTTCTTGATGAAATGGATTATAAATCTAGTGTTAAGTATAAATATTTTACGCCCATGAATTAGTACTTCTGGTTTTAATTTTTCCGTGAAAGGATATATTTTTTTGTAAATTTAAAATGAGGTAAAATTATTTTTGTAACATTTACATAAAAATGTATTGCTTATCTTTTTCTTAAAATTTTTCTCTCTTATGTTTCTATATCTTATTTATTCAATGGGTGTATATGCTATTAAATTTCATTTACTGTTTACATAAATGCTCTTCTATTTTATTATAGAGAATTTATTTTATCTTCCTTTATTCGTAAATACGTGTGAGAAATTTAATTAATTGAAATACGTTTCTTACAATTTTAAATATATATATATATATATATATATGTATATATATATATATATATTTCACTGTAATATTTAATTTCGGACATAAAGTTAACACACTGCATAATAATTACCATATATTTATTTAAATACATCATTTTAAAATTATAGTTATCAAAAAGAATCATCAAAAACTCAGAATTTGACATTTAATGCAAATTATAAAGAACTAAAAATTATTTAGTCATGCTTTGGTATTTGTTTCAATAAGAAGACCATATTTTTACAAAAAAGTAAAATGTTGAGGATTTTTCAAAAATTAATTTAAGATTATAAGAATCTATATATAATTTAAATATTAAAATATAAATTCTTTTCTTATTTTGTTTTCAAACATCTCCAAGAAAACAAAATAAAATTATTTTGAGTATTTTCTTTTTTACATCTGATATTTCAATGTAAAGAATTTCCCAGGAAAATTTATTTATCTATATGTTCTGAAACTAATCTGATTTAAAATATTTTTAATTCAAAAATTTTACTTTATTAATTTTTTTTCATACGCAGTGATAAAATTACACAGTCATCTATTTTTCATAAACTTAATTACGTATAAAGAAATATTTAAAAAATTATACATAACTAGAAGAATGCAAGTATAGCACACTTGTGATAAAAACTATATTCCGTAGTTTTAATTTTTAATAATAGAATATGGTAACATTGCTTTTCTGTGAAAAGGAAACCAAGATCAAAATAAAACACTAAGAATAATGCTCTCAGTCTTCAAATGATATTACACTATTGAAGAAGGTTTATTTCATTAATAATAATTGATTTAAATTATAAGTTAGAAAATTAATTAAGTTTTAAAATCAGTACCGGAAACATAAAATTATATTTTTAAGGAATAAATTTCGGTATTCCATTCACATTTGGAATTTTGCGTAAAAATTATAATTTTTTTCTTATTATGTTTGAAACTCAATAATGTACTTTGTATATTAGTTTCTAAGAAACAAAAGTAATAAAAGCTCCAAAATTAGCAAATTCTTCTGAATCCGATTTGAAATTTTACATTTGCTCGAAAGCTCAATAATCTTTTCAATTTTTACTTTCCATTCGTTTTCATACATTTCGAAAGAAGATGTTTCAAACATTTTCTCATTCAAAACACCGAAACTTTGACGAAATATAATTAATTTAGACATCAAAGAAAATTGAAATTCAAGAAATCATATTTCCAACTAGAGGATTCTGGGTGAAAATTAAATTGCTTTTTTCCCCATCTGATGTTGAGGCTATTAGAATTTTTATACTCAACTATAATAAAATACCAATTCCATATTTCCGTACATTTTCAAATCATTTTTATGACCTTTATTTAAATTACCCACACATCCAAGAAAGATCATTCGAATTTGATTTGTTCCCTTTTTAGGGTGATGAAATCATGTATTATTCATAACAGAAAGTTGAAAAATAATTTTTTACTTCCACAAAGTTATTCTCTCTTGAGAGAGATGCATAAATTTGCTGTCTATTATATGCCCCAATACATTACGGGGTGAATATTGAATATGAGGTATTTCTCCACCATGACAAAACAATATGGTTCAGATAAATAGACTTGATAAGGGAAAAATTATCCATAATGGATTTTGTTTGTTACCCAATGTTGGAATTTATGTACATATCATTCGGAGAACACTGAATCAAATGATTAGGTTATACATTGAAATTGTAAACCGATAAAATAATTTTTAAAATTTAAGATTTTTTTTGTAATATTAAAAAAAATATGAAGAATTATACTTTATACTGGAATTTGTAATAGTTTAATATTTTGATATAATTAAAAAAATTCTAATTTATTAACCCAGTGCTTCTCA